TAATTGTCCTGTAGAAGCCACTGGTTCAGAGATAGGGAGACAGTCACCAACCAAATCAGTCTTACTACAGTTGTTTATATAATGTTCCTCCCGGCCCTCTGGCTGGCACCCACCAAAGGCTAGGGCAAGAAGACCCTCATGGTAAATGATGCTTCTGAGATTAGCAACAGAGAAAAACTATGGCTGGGAGATCTTCTCTCAATAAATGTTCAAAACAATAAGAGTCACATTTTCAGATGGGTCTTTGATCTCATCAATCTGGAAGTTCCATCCATTGTTGCACATCCCAAACTATCTATGCTTGTCCATCCCATGTGACTCTTACTCCATGCTGTAGTATATCCTCCAGAGAAGGACCTTGTCTGCCATATTCACCAGAGGGGGTCTCAATAGAGGCCTTCCTGGATTCTTCATGACATGTAACAACAATACTAGCATTTTATATTATCATAGCTCACATTTCCATCATGTTTTAATTTCTTTAATTTATTCTTTGCAAGTGGTGGAATTTATTGAATTGATTAGGGCGGCAGCAAAAGAGATAAAAGGGACAGATTAGGGCACTCTAGATTCTGTAGCAACGCCCAGGGCTTGGTACCATGAACCAAAAGAAAACTATCAGAATTATGAAGCACTTTTCTTTCAACTATCCTGTGAGCCAGGGAGTGTAATTATTTTTATCCCCATTTCGAAGATGTAGAAACTGAGCTTAGAAATGTGCCCAAAATCATATAGCTAGTGAGTATCAGAGGCAGAACCATGTGCTTGACACCATGCTTAGAGCTAGGGATGCAAAGACAAGAACAGAAGAGTCCCTACTTCAAGAAGCTTATATTCTACTGAAGACAACAATATGTACACATATAAATGTATGCAAAAATTCATACAGAGTAAATATGGGGAAGGTAAAGGTGGGAGGTGGTACCAGGAGCTGGGGGAGATCAGGAAAGGCCTCAGGTAGGAGGTAATACTTAAGAATTGAGTGGAACTAGGGATTTTATGAAGTGGTAGTACAGAGGAAGGGCATTCTAGGCAGGAGGGACAGCCTAGGCAAAGACATAGAGATGGGAGATGAAAACACTTGTGTGAAGGACAACAAGCTGGCCAATTTGGCTGTGGCAGAGCATATGAGGGGAAACAACATGTAAGAGTCTGAAAAGGTACTTTGGAGGCAGATTTCGAAGGACTTTAAAATGGCAGAGGAGTTCATATTTCATCCTAGAAGCAAAAGGAAGCCAGGCACTGGAGTTTCTTGGGCAGAATCACTTAAAGGACAGGTGTCCCTAATTATCATTAAGGGTTACCACGTGCTCTTCTTCCCACAACCTTATGAGAAGATTATCATCCTTACCTTACAGATGAGGAAACTGAGGTTTAGAGAGGTAAAGAAATTTGTCCATGCATGCCTAACTGGTAAGTGGCTGGGCAACGAGCCAAATGGAGGTCTTCTGATTCTAAATCCAGTGCTCATTCTCACTCTGTCGAGCACTTTGTAACTGTAAAGCTCTAAAAACTGTCAGCTCTAATTATTAATATGTTTAAGGAAGCAGTGATGCTGTTCATACATGACATATCATGCTAAGCAAGTATGGTTTCTTCTCCTAAGCCTGCACATTCTCCTCCACCCTGTCTTTCCACCTGTCTCTCATTTTCTAAAAAACGTTTATACTCAATAATAGGCAATTTTGTCACAAAGCATGCAAACCATTGAGTCAATTTGTTTCTGTTTCTGTCTGTCTCCCCAAAGTGAGTGAACTACACTGCTTAATGAAAACACTGTGTTCTGAAATGCAAGCTTCCAAATTAGAGACGTCTGATGGGTTATAGGCACCATTCTCAACACTAGTCTCAATTTGAAGGGGAAAAAAAAGATTAAACCATTTTGACCCAAGGGTTATTTATTTCGCTTTGTGAAATCCCAAAGAGATGCACTGGTCTGAGAGAATTCCAAGTTGTGAATGCCGTTAGCCAAATGCACGTACTAAATGAATAAATACCGTAAAGGAGGCATGCAGACGGAAATGGAGTTCCCAATGGGGCCATCATTTCTGAAGGCAATGAACAATTATCACCCTTTCATGGAGGAGGAATTTTCACCATTTTCCTCCCTTCTCAGCCATAATAGATATAAGTGTCATGCCCTGCCTCAAACCTCTCCCCTCTCCAATCCATCCTCCCTACAACTGCCAAAATAATCTTCCCAAGTCTAACCATGTCAATCCTTGCCCCCCTCCAAAAGCCTCCAGTGCCTTCCTATTGCCTCTAGGTTCGAACATCACTTCCACAGCAGGCCATTGGAGAGCCTCTAGAATCTGGCTCCAACTTAATTTGCCAAACATTCCCCTTTGCACATTCTGCATTCCAGCCAACCAGCTCTCCTCTTAAACTCAACACTTTATTGCTTGTCTCTATGAACTTGGAGTCAAGGAGGCTTGAGTTCAAATCCTGGTTTTGACACTTAGTGGCTGTGTGACCTTGGAAAAGTTATTTAACCTCTTTTATCTTGTTTCCTCATTTGCAAAATGAGGGAATTAGGGCCAGAAAACAGGTCCCTTCTTGCCCAAGATCTAAACAGATAATGTATGCCTGGGATACCTTTGCAAAGCTGTCCTATATGCTTGGAATGCACTCCCTTCTTTATGTCTCAGAACCTTTAGCTTTCTTCATCTGAGGTTAGACCCCCTATGTGAAGCTTTGAACTGACTCAAATCCTGCCATTTGTCAGTGCTGTGTTACTCCTCAAATGTCTTGTATGCATTGTTTGTGTACACAGGTTCGTGGGATTTAGCTCTAAAAGGGGTCATAGATGTTATCTGGTCCAACCCTGTACAGGTGAGGAAGCTGAGGCCAAGACAATTTAAGGGTCTTGCTCAGGGTCACAATAGATAGTAATAATCATCACAGGACAGAATCTGGGTGGCCTGGTCACCCAGGCTCCCTAATTGCTCTTACAATGACCCCATTTGGCATAGGTCAGAACTAAAAGAGGCTATTTGTTGATTGATAAGGTCCTCAATGTCGAAGGTTGGAGGGGATTTACCTGTAGACACATAAATATGGGGTCACTGGTATTTCAGTCTTTTCATAGAATTCAGGACAGTGTAAAGACTAACTTTACCAAAGAAATATGTACTGTGAATTCTAATGCTTGAATCTGGCCTTCCTCAGCACCCCCACCCCCAACCTTCCCATTCTGGGAATTATGGGGGAAGAAGAGTAGGGTTGTGAAAAGTTCAAAGGAAAACTGGTTGACACTGTGAGAGACGAGGAGTAGAGAGAGAATCCAAGAGGTGTTAATCCCAACTGCTCAGGCTATGGAAATAGCCTTTGAGAAGGTTCACAGGATCATGGACTCAGAACTAGAAGAAACCTAACATATCCTCTAGTCCAAAAGTCAAACACACCACCAAGGGAGCCAGATGAAAATGTAAATGGCTGATATTTAACAAAATAAAAAGACAACAAAACATGGCTAATGTTAATATGGCTTTAAAAGTCAATATGTGGCCCTTAGGGAGCCTTGTGTTTAGTGGCCCCTTTTCCTATTGGAGTTTGATACCATTGGTGTGGTATCTCTGACCTCATTTTAAAGAGGAGGAAAATGAGGATCAGAGAGGCCATGGAGAGCACACAGATAGGCAATAATAGAGCCTGTACTTGAACCCAGGCTGAATCCATTGTTCTTTTTATGACCCCATTTGGCATAGGCTAGAACAAAAAGAGGGTATTCGTTGATTGATAAGGTCCTCAATATCAAAGGTTGCAGGGAGGTTTACCTGTAGACATGTAAATAGGAGGTCACTGGTATTTCGGTCTTTTCAGGGAAAACAAGGGGGGGCTTTTGCACTACTAAGAGCAAAAGCCCAGGTAGATCCCAGGAGGGCAATGGTCCAGCGAATGAAGGAGGTGGTTTCTCAGTCAGCAGTTTTGACCTCAAGCTAAACAGTTGGATTTAAGGCTTAGACAGAAAAAGGCCTTCCTCAGTGCTCTAGACTAGAGAACAAGAAGAAACTAAAATAAATAGCCCTTCCTGGGACTATTGAAAATAGTAGGTAGAACTGAAAGATGAGAGGTCATCTAATCCAATCTCTTCATTCCATACACTCTTCCGAAACAAATCTGGTACTTGGGCCTAGCTATTTTGGCTACAGGGCCAGCTCCCTTGTCATTATATCACATACAAAAGGGCATAGAAGCTAAAATGTGGTGAGTCTATGGAGTGCCTGATGGGAACCATACCATGACGTGCCAAGACGGGTAACTTGACACTCTACCTGACATTTATCTCGGACCCACTGAATTTGTCTCTCCAAATTCCTTTACTGGGTAGCAAAGATCACAACTGGCTCTATATCAGAGAGTCCGTGAATATTTTAAAAAATATATTCTTATCACTATATTTCAGTGGTTTCCTTTATAATCCTATGGATTTCATTTTATGCATTTAAATGAGAAGAGGATCCATGAAACCTATGGGCTTCACCAAGAGTGCCAAAGGGTTCAGGACACGAACAAAGGGTAAGAACGCCTCCTTCGGTACCACTCGACATTGGACAAAGTATCGTGAAAAACAACCCAGAAGGCAGGTAGTAAAAGGGTTATTATTCCCATTCTGCAGAAGAAGAAAGTGAGGCTCAGAAGGGAAACAACCTACCTGTAGTCACGGAGCTAATGGACGGACCGGGAGGGAGAAGTACTCTTTTCACCATGCCACACTGCTTCTTGGAGGCTGCTATTCTGTTGGGCTGATGGACAAATTTCGTCCCCTGGAGTTCCCATGAATTTTTGGGGGGAGGGAGTCTAGATCAGGGGTTCCTAACAGCAGCGCCTAGCACAGTGCCTGGCACCTAGTAGGCACTAGGTTGGTTGGTTGTCATCCTTCGTTCTCCAAGAGGACCAAAATGACATCATCATGTTGGGGTCAAGGTCCAGTGTGTCCCAGTGTGGCTCGGGTACACACAATCCGTGTGAAGAGTCGAGGGGGGGGAAGAGAAAAAAAATGACCCCGGCGTGACTCGAACACGCAACTTTCTGAGTTGGAATCAGACGCGCTACCATTGCGCCACGGGGTTCTCATGCTATGACACCCCCTTAGAACGTACTTAATGCATACTAGGGGGCTGGACGACGATTAGAACGCTGCTGATGTCATTCTCTTCCTTTCTCATTCCAGCAGTTTCATCGCAGCGGGCCTTCAAAAACACCATTCTCACAAGGGGCCCTGCCTTCAGCACGCTGCCCGAGGGGCCACCACACACAGAAAGAAATAGCCTCCCTTAGCCACCCCCCCCCGGCCCATCACCCCACTGTCTCCACCACTTGGGGACCTCTCTGCACCAGCCTCAGGACCCTGCTCTCTCCCGCCAGCGCCCAGCACGTGGACTCCTTGTCTCCTTTTACGAAGCCAATGGCCTGCAGGGGGGCAGCCTCGGGGTCAATGAGCTGCCCAGACCCTTCCTCAGGGAGCCCCAGACGCTGCACCTAGGAGCCTGGGGGCACAGGAGGCCAAAAAGGGGGCAAACGGCAGCTGGAGGGACTGGGAGGCTCTGCACGCCAACTTGGGGGAGGCTTGCCATTCACCGCCGTCTGCCAAGGTCCGAGAAGGAGCTCCGGACTGGGAGGGGGCGAGGACAGCGATTGGGAAAGCTCACACAGTGTGAATTACCATCGGAAATCTGGGGAGTTCTGTCACGCCTGGGAGATGACCTGATAGCAGCCCCGATTCTGCTTTCTGTCCCAGAAGGGGACTCCTACCCGCCTCCAACTCAGACTGACCAGAGGCCCAGGGCTCACTGGCCCTCAGCACGTGTCAGGTGAGCTTTCGGCTGCCGACTCCCTTACTCCCAATGGCACTGTGAGGAGGAGGAGCTGCCTCACTGGGGTCATCTCCGGTTGGCCTGACCTGTGTCTTGCCACTGGACTCCGATGACCCTGGAGGAGGGAGTGGGGCTGGTGACTTTGCACAGCCCTGCCTCACTTAGATCTGATTCACTTGCAAGTCAAGAGGTCACCCTGCTGATGTCAGAAACAACAATGGGACTGTAATCAAATTCATTTGAATGAATGAATGAATGAAAATTTATGAAGTAAACACAATGTGCCAGGCACTGTGCTAAGTGCTGGAATATAAATACAACCAAAAAAGTCTCTGCCTTCAAGGACCTTACATTCTAAGAAGGGAAGACAACACATGAGGAAGTGATGTCCAGGGAGAGGTCAAGGAAGTCAATTCCATCAACCAATGAACATCTATTAAGGATATACTCTGTCGGGCACTGTGCAAAGCACTGGAAAGACAAAAAGAGGTAAAAGCAGTGCCTGCCCTTTAGGAGTTTACAGTCTAACGGGGGAGACAACAAGCAAACAAATACATACTAAGGAAACTACATACAAGATCAATAGGAAGTATATAAAAGAGGAAAAGAACTAGAATTTAGAGGGTTGGGGAAGACTTCCTGTAGAAGATGGGATTTTGGTTGGGACTTAAAGGAAGCCAGGAGATCAGTAGTCAGAGCTGAACAAGGAGAGCAATCCAAGCATGGGGGACATCCAGAGCAAATGTTCAGAGCGGAGAGATGGAGCATCTCATTGAAGGAAGAGCTAGAAGGCCAGTGTCACTGGATGGAAGAGTACTTGTATCAAGGAGTAAGGTATAAGAAAATTGGAAAAGTAGGAAGGAAGCTAGGTTATGATGGGCTTTGAATGCCAAACAGAGCATTTTATATGTGCTCCTGGAGGCAACAGGGAGCCACTGAAGTTTACTGAGTAGGGGAGTGGCACGGCTGGATCTGTGCCTTATGAAAATCAGTTAGTGGTTGAATGGAAATTGAATTGAAGTGGAGAGAGACTTAAGGTAGGAAGAACCACCAGCAGCTGCTGCAATAGTTCAGGCACGATGTGATGAGGGCCTGCACTAGAATGGTGGTAGTGCCAGAGCAGAGAAGGGGGCATAGTCAAGATATGTTGCAAAGGTGAAATCAACAGGCTTTGGCAGATTGGATGTAGGAGTTGAGAGATAGGAGTTGAGGATGACTCCTAGGTTGTGAGTCTGGGGGACTGGGAGGATGGTGATGCCCTTACAGTAATAGGGAAGGTAGGAGGAGGCAGTGGTTTAGGGGGAAAGATAATGAGTTCAGTTTTGAACATGTTTAATTTAAGGTGTCTACTGGAATCCAGTTTGAGATTCTGAAAGGGAATTGGAGATGAGAGACTGGTGGTCAACAGAAGAGGTTGGGGCAGGATAGGTAGATCTGAGAATCATTAGCATAGAAATGGTAATTAATTCCATGGGAGCTGATGAGATCCCCATGGGAAGTAGTATGGAAGAAGAAGAGAAGAGGGCCCAGGACAGAACCTTATGAGAGCCCTGTGGTTAGAAGGTGTGATCTGGATGAGGATCCAGTGAAGGTGAATGAAAAGTGGTCAGACAGGTAGGAGGAGAAATAGGAGAGAGTAATGTCCTGAAAACCTACAGACAATATCAAGGAGGAGAGAGTGGTCAACAGTGTCGAAGGCTGCAGAGGTCAAGAAGAATGAGGGTTTTTTTGAGAAAAGGCCATTGGATTTGTCGATTAAGGGATCATTGGTGACTTTGGAGGGCAGTTTTAGTGTAATGATGAGGTTGGAAGCCAGATGGTAAGGGGTTAAGAGGAGGGAGTCTGAGAAGAGACAAAGTGGAGGAACCTATTATAGATGGCCTTTTCAAGTGTATCCATAAAAAGCAGAAGAGATATAGGATAATGGTGGGGATAGAAGGATCAAGTGAAGTCTTTTTTTTGGGGGGGGGAGACATGGGCATATTTATAGGCAGTGGGAATGAGCCAGTAGACCGGGAGAAAGTGGAAAATAAGTGATAAGAGGGGGATGACAAAGGAGGCAATCTGTTGGAGGAGACAAGAAGAAAATCACTTGAGCAGGTAGAGAGGTTAGCCTTGGTAAGTTGTAAGGCTACCTCATCAGGTAAGACAGGGGTGAAGGAGGAGGCAGTGGCAGAAGACATATGAGTGATATGAGATAGGAAGAGGGGAGGAGAGGAAGATTATAGTGAATGGCCTCAGGTTTTCTGTAAAATAAGAGGAAAGGTTCTCAGCTGAGAGGGTAGGGGAAGAGGGAGCCATGTGAGGATTGAGGAGAGATGAAAAGGTTTGGAAGAGCTGCTGTGCAGAGTGGGATGTGCAGTAAGATTGCCTAGCAGCAGTGAGAGCCTAGTTGAGGTTGTATGACATACATTCATAGCGGACTCAGTCAGAATGGTTGCATGATTTTCTTTGTCTTCATTTAGAAAGGTGTGTAGAAGTGAAGGTGACACATGTTGGGAGCAATCCAAGGCTGAGGCTTGCTGGGAATAATTGGCAATATGATAAGGGGGGTATGGATTTCAAAAGATGAGGACAGTGTAGAGTTGAATTGATTCACTAAGGGTCAAAATGGGAAAAAGAGGAAAGAGTGGCTAGTGCAGGGCAGACGGCCTGGGAGAGAATTGAGGGATCAAGGGATTAAGAGTAGGGTTTTATAAGAGTAAGCAGAGGGAGACATGAAAAGCCAATAGATTATTGTTGGATAAGGCTATTTCAGAATTCTTGAATGTGGAGGTGGTACCATCTTTGTATGTGGCTGAGTTGGGTGGAGGAGGAGGTCATGGGAAATGAATAGGTTGAGGAACTGAGTGGTTTGGGTGTTTTGAGGGAGAGTTAATATGTACATTAAAGTCTTCCTAGTATGAGGGCAGGAGTTGGAGAGGGAGAAAAATTGAGCCATGATTGAGGAAGGAAAGGGGTGACCTGGAGATCTACAGACAACATCTACCAGGATTTTGATTGAGTGGTAGATATCAATAGCATGAACCTCAAACGAGGAGAGGTTACTAAGTGATGAAGGTAGAGGCATAAGCTGGAAGTGGCATTGGGGAGCAAGAAGTATTTCAACTCCCTTGCCTTGACCAGTGAGTTGAAGAGAATGAGTGGAAGTGTAGCCAGTTCTGGAAAGGGTGTCATCAGGGAAATCCTGATTTCAGTAATAGTTTGTGGATAGAAGGCATGGGAGAGGAAAAGATTCAGGATGAAGGGAAGTTTGTTGTCTGTGGAACAGACATTACACAGGGCACATTGGAAGAGCTCAGTGACATTGGTTGAAACTTTGGGGTGAGAGGGTTAAGGTGAATGGGAATAAGGAATCAGGAGGTTGGGGTAGAGAATGGTGTTTAATCATTGGGAGGTGAAGGGTATGAACAGGTGTGAGAACGTGTATAATTAAATAGAGGGTGCCACTCCACTTCTCCAAGGAGAATGGAGATCTGGCTGGAGACAAGTGCAGTATGAGATGGGACACACAGGATCAGATAATCAGATGGGAGGTTCTGCTTCTCTATTCCTTTTCCTTCTGAAAGGTAGAGGTTAGGCAGGAAAGGGCACAAGAGGGGATGGAAGTCGAACCTGCACAGAAAGACATCCCATTCCTCACCATCTTTCCTCTTCCTTCAAAGGACCAGCACAAGAGAGAGAAGGCCTGAGGCCAAAGGGCAGGTTGCTGCTCTTTGCACTGCAGGTTCTCCACGTCCAAGTTGGGAGATGGGGCAGAGGGCAGGAGGTAGAAGTTGTCTTGTGCTGCCACAGATGAAAGTTGTTGCTTTGGGGCAGATGGAAGACACTCAGTCAGCCCCTTGCCACCTTCCCTCATGGAACATGCTGTGCCCAGTAGGAGATGGAAGGCTCAAGGCATAGTGCAAGGTTCCCATGAGGTCACCAAGATAGCAACTTCTAGAGCCAAAAAGACTCCAGCCAAAGAGGACCTGCCATCCATATACCTGCCTTCCCACCCCCATCTTGTTTTTCATTGTTGTTGTTTGTCCTTCTTTCTGGAAGGACCCATGACATCAGCAGAGTGACCTCTTGACTTGCAAGTGAATCAGATCTAAGTGAGGCAGGGCTGTGCAAAGTCACCAGCCCCACTCCCTCCTCCAGGGTCATCGGAGTCCAGTGGCAAGACACAGGTCAGGCCAACCGGAGATGACCCAGTGAGGCAGCTCCTCCTCCTCACAGTGCCATTGGGAGTAAGGGAGTCGGCAGCCGAAAGC